GGCTCTCTGACTTGACCCTTTTGGGCTCCAGCTACAGGCAGCGCATCACACTGCGGATACGCCAACCTTGAGGAGACGAAGCCCTGGCATTGCCTGGCCCTACCAGTAACCCCTTTCCGGCTTGGGCTCGGACAGCAGCTGCACTGCCTGACTGACTCTGACTCTCTGCGCTCAGGTCACTCTGAGGTCAGGCTGATAAGGCCTTCAGGAGGGTCGCGTCCGCATCATCGGCACAAAGTATGGGCCTGCGGGCGAAGTGCAAGAAATGACTCCTAGTGCATCCTGGAGAGTTCTTCCACGCTGTGCTACTGCTACGCCTTGGCGGAGCACATGGCACACGATGGACCAATACGGGACCAATTGGCCCGTCCTGTTTGCAGAGCAGCGCGGCAGAATGAAGAGAGACAAGAATCGATGAAGCTTTCATGAAGCTTTCCGAGGCTCGGACGACCAAGTCTAGGCGCGAGCTTGAAATCTTCTCCTGCTTAAGAAACGCGAAGCGAAACCTTGCGAAGGCTTGCTGAGTCGCCCTGAGAACGGCGACTAAGCGCCCTTGGCCTGGCCTCCGTCTGAGTCTGGGCCTTCACACTGACTCTCCCAGCACGGATCGAACTCCCACATCAACTTCCAGAAAACCTGCTGCCTTGCGTTACCGGTGTGAGATGCTGTTGCTTGTTTGTGCCCATGCATTGAGCTGCTGATTAAGCAGTTCTCTGCCACCCCCGTCTCGTCTGCAAGCATTCATGTCTTCGGTATGGACTCAATGCGGCATCTTGCCATCCCTGGTCCGCGGCCTCTGCCATGCGCAGCTTCAGGCGATACGCTCGCCACTGCCTGAGACCATGGTCGCACACACCTTTCTCTTTGTGCGCTTTGCATGTCGGCTCTCGGATCTCGGCTCCAGTGACCAGTCCAGCATCTCCTCCTCGGATTCCTCAGCGGAATCTAACCGACGACTGGAGGCGAGGCGAAGGAGGCGAAGGGGGCGGGGGGAGCTCTTCTCTTCATCCTGCCTGAGCCTTCGGTGAGCAGGCAAGGGAGAGGAAGTCGGCGAGCTCCCCGACCTGCGAGACACACGACGAGTCGAGCGGCGTGTGCCCAACTCGTGAGGTGCGCGGGGATCGGGCTGTCACAGGCATTCCCATGGGCATCTTCTCCAAGTCCTTCTCACAGAAACTCTGACTTCAAGAGCCCAAGTTTTTCCTTACAAGACTTTCCCTGAGCAGCTGGGCCGATGGAATCAGGTGCGTCCCCCAGCCATCATCCGGCGAGGTCCATCTGCGGAGAGCCACGAGGCCGCGCGTAAGCGGCGCTGAAGCGGCGCGCTTAAGCGGCGCTTCCGCGCTTCCGCCCCCGGCCTTCTGACTGCGGGCGCTTCGTCTTCCTCCGGAACTGCGGGCGCGGACCTCGCGAAGCGAAGCGCCGGGAGGGGGGGGGCCCCCCGTTTCCCGGCTCGGCTCTCGGGGCCGGGCGCGTCCTCTGGCCCGGAGGACGCATCAATCTCACAGACCTGCCCGCAGGGAAAGAGAGCTGGAAGACAGTCGCTCTATGGTCCTATAGGTGCTTTTTGTTCGAAGATCTTCGAAGTAAGCTCCGAGGTGTCGTGGGTGCTACCATGAGATGCCTCTGCCAACACATCGGTAGGGAACGCTGCCGACACCTGGGCTCATCGAGGCACATGAGAACTGACGCCACGATGCGCTGACTGAGCGAGGGACCACACCGGTGCACAGAGGCGCTCCCTCCTCCAAACCCACCTCCTCCAAGAGGCTCTCCCGGCCCTGTCACGATAGAACCCACAAAGAGTGTCCAGTGCCCCAGTGCCCCAAGGAGCTGCGTTGAGGCCTCGCGCCGCAGCATGTCACCGGGACCTGAGCAGAGCCCGGAGCAGATTTCACAGCCTCGGCTTTGAGCTTCTAGGGCTCCGACCACCGCCAGCCTCTTGCAACGCTCCGCCTCGGCGACAGAGGACCAAGCGACGGCTTCAGTCTCAGCCTTCGAAACACAGAAGCAAAGCACAGCAAAGCGCACCTCTAGACCTCTTCGGCCGGAGCGAGGGCGCCGGGTGCTGCTCGCCTTGCAAGGCTCATGGCTTTATCTCTTTTGTGGAAGCTTCTCGGGGAACTTTCCGAGTCTGGGCCCTCGGCTGAGGACAGCGGCCAGCACGCTCTGAAGAGGCAGCTTCACATCCACGGCCTCACGAGAAGGAACGCACCAGGCCCACAAACCGAGGAGAAAGCTCGCGTGGCTTTCGCGGGTCCGGGCTTTCTCAGGCTGGCGCCAGCATGCGCACGCGCTCCGGGAGGACGTCTGTCACATGTATTGCCTGGCACACGCTTCAAAGCGGCACGGAGTTGGAGACGAGGCATGTGCGGCCTGGGACTGTGGTGCTATGTTGCTCTGCTTTGTGCGTCTTTCCGTGGCTTCATGCGCGCGAGTTCGTGGCGCTCGTCGACTCAGCTTCATCTTTTCCACAGCAACTGTCAGCGGTGGCGATGCTCTCTCGTCGGCAACAGTGGCAACGAAACGGGGTGCTTTCCCGACGCCGATATGCGGAGGCTCGCCCTCGAATTGTCAGAATCGATTAGTCCATGAATTCGGTTTTGGCGCAGACTGCGGACATCTTGCTGGTGCACCTGGCACCGCAGTGCAACCGCACACACGCTCACAGGCAAGCAAGCCTTTTAGGCCCCAAGAGTTTATAGAAAGACCGGGCCTGCCCTGTGCTCACTGGACATGCAAGGCTCTAGTGCAAAAAACTGCGAAAAGAGATGGCCGTCGCCGTGCTGCGCTTCACTGCAAAGCACTTCATCTCGCGGGACGCTCTAGGCTTGAAACGGATCAAGGGACTGAAAGGGACCGACAAATTGAGAAGCTCCTGATTGAGCCTACGGAGGGATCCACCCATCCCCGTGCAGAAGGCCCATGGCCCAGATCAGCTCTGATGTGGCTCTGCTTCTTTTAGGTCGCGGGCCGCCAGTCGCAACAACCACTGGTGGAGAGGCGACGGCGGGCCGGCAAGTCTCATCTGATCACTACGAGTCGTCACTAGCAGTCACTAGCACTTACGAACCCACAGAAGCCGACAAAGCAGATCACGAAGACACCTGTGCGCCTGAAAGCTCATTTGAATTCGAGTGCAGCCTGCAAGCTCAGCGTCACCTCAAGAGGGCTTCTCTCCCTCTCTAAGACTCTCAGCGGCAGCCTTCAGCACTCTTGGGTCGCTGACTCCAGCCGTCTGCTTTGAAGACGCTTTGCTCGACCAGGCTGTTACAGCCCTGGCCCCCAAGGGCTGAACATTCCGCTCTTCCCCTCCCCATCCCCAAGCCTCGTGGTGGGAGGCAGGCGGGAGGCTTCGGCTTCGGCCGTGCGGACCTCGACAAAACGGTGTAGGAAAAGCTTCGCGCAAGCCACTCGGATGGCCTGCTTCCAGAAGCTCTTCTTCTGCTTCTTCCACTGGCGGCTTTGTGCCGGGCCACAGATATGACAAAAGGCGCACCTCCGACTTGCACAAGCAGTCTGAGCATCTTTAAGGCATTTAAGCCTCTTCAGCATGCCAAATGCCATCTGAGGAACTCATATCCGAAGCGGCATGAAGAACGGCAGCTGAAGTCACAAGGCTTGCATAGACCTATGTAGTGCCTCATCAGTACGGACAGTCAATCCAGCTTGACAGGATCGAATACCGTAGCACTTGAGCCCAAAGCTTGGCAGACCCAATCGACGGAAAAGGAATTGGGTCCTTCCAGCGCGCGGAATCTCGCGATCCCTCTCGTGTGCAATGCTCGTCCTCCAGCATAGCCTGTAACTCCAGCACACACGGAGATTGTGAGGACGGCGATGCGGGCATGGAGACCTCGGAAACAACATGCAACATGTGGAGCAGACTGTCACCCACGATATCTAGGCTTTCACGGCGGCCTGGCCTCTGTGGGGCTTCGTGTGCTGGCAGATTCCATCCCATCCTCTTTGCCCTGGCTCAGGCCGAGCCCTTCGACCTTCCATCCAGCCAGGATGCTCAAGGCGCAGCGCGACGCTTCTCCGGCCTTCTCCAGACCGGGAGGGGGGCCCAGAAGCAGTCCGCCTTCGCGAGGCCTTGGCGCTGGGGGACTTGAGCTCGAGCAAGAGGCAGAGAGGTTCCCGTGAGGCTTCGGCTCGAGGCTGTACATCTCGGAAAAGGCGTGCGCCCGGCACCATCTAGAGCCGAAAGGGGCTGCATGATGCTGCATGTGCAAGCGTTGCACCGCGACACTACGACTCCGACGTTGGCTTCGTAAGCTCATGGTTGCAGAGCAACATGCCAGTAGCCGCCATGAGGATCTGCCGCAAGGCGGATTGCGCCTTGCGCACCTGTACAGACGAGGGGTCGCTGGGGCTGCTTCCGAGTCGCTGAGGTCAGCCTCTTCATTGCTGGTACCTCCACGGAAGCGGACACAGAGAGTCTTCCGGTGCCGGTGTCAGCAAAGGTGACAGGGCGCACCCATTTCAAAGGCCAGAGCTGCACATCCATCCAAAGAGGCAATCAAGCCCTCGCGCCCCTAGCTTGAATCTTCTAGTCTATTCCATGTCAGAGGGCTCCGAGCCATCACATGCCTGCCATGTGAAGCGATCATGTGCGAGGGACTCTGGCTTCCTTCAAAACGTATTAGCAAATTGACATGTCATTGCTGTTCGTCGCTTCGCCGTCCGAGCTTGGACCGAAATTTGATGCAAGCCTTGCAAGTCGGATAAGGAAATCAGAGCGAAGAACAGCGCACCTATGCAATTGCACAGTTTAATAACAAGCTGCAATCTGTCTCCAGGCTTGGCCTCTTGCCAGCAGCAGATCTGAATTTCCCATGGGCACGTCGCACCTTGTCCGATGCGGTGTGGATGTACTGTTTCTTCGTCCACATTTTCTGCGTGGGTGCCCCTGCAAACGGTGAAATGGTTCAGCTTGACTGGTGGGTGAGACTTTCTAATTCAACTCCGAAACATGGATCGCGGACGTGATAGCTTTCTCACGCTGGCAACGGCGTTCTGTACAGAGAAGTCGTTGATCGCTCCGTAACAACGAGGTGCCTGCTTGCGACAGGACTCTGATGGAACTGTGCAGCTTTTCTCTCCCAGACCCGCGCGCCTCTGATCGGGAGAGATGCAGAGTCCCGTAATCTCGGGCCCTGGGACGCTTATGGCGGCAGTGACCTGGAGCTTCACAACGCTGCATGTTGTGGCATCATGCAGAGACATCTGAGGCTGTCACCTCCCCTTCTGGATTCAGGACAACCTGTTGCTCATCGCAGCGAGCGCTGGAACCCCAAACCACGTTCAGCAGAAACCAGTACTACAATCCCTATCCCGGATTTGGATCATTTTTTCTTGTGATCGCTTTACCAATCAACACCACTCATTGGTCACTAATTCCTAACCTTGATGTCAGTACACCTGTACTTCCTCCGTAATCCCTCTCTAGTAACCCACACCCCTCCTTCCTGTGAAAGCAGGTGGTGACGTTTCGTGTCCCCCAATGGATTTCGGTTGTTGATAGGCAGTCGCGTCCCTCCCCCTCTCGGCCTGCCCCCGATTCCCTGCGGGATTTTCAAGGTAGATGGTCCTTAGACCTACAAGCTTTGCCAGCACAGGAGCACAGTGAGTTGTTTCTATCTCTGAGCACAGTCTATGGTGTACAACCACTTGAACCAATATGCAGACTGACGCACATCTATGACTGTGATGGCCATGTCATTGCTGTACGCAGTCTACCGGCCGCGGGGCCCAGGCATTAAGAGTTTCAAAGAGATTGTTTTTTGGGGGCTGAGGGCATTGTGTACAGTCCTTCGTCTCCTTGAAAAAGTATGGTGCGAAGCCATGGAGTGGGCTTGCCCCGAGTGTTTCTGTGCGAGCAGCCTCCCGCGCGCCGGGCCCCCAGCTAGCACCACAGTTCGCCCCGCTTCAAGAACCCCGCAGCCGACCAACTCACCCCATAAACTGAACAAGGCAACTCTAACTCTATACACACGCTTTAGTGATAATCTACCCCATACAATCAACAAGGCGTGCCTGTCCTTCTTGTGAGTAGTAGCGAGTTGGCCAAACATAGTGGATCGTACCACGTGATAGCTGTACGTCTCAATTCGGTATCGCTGATTTGTAGGGGCGCTGGCCAATCTCTCATGCTGTTGCACTGAGGTCGGACTGCACAAGTTCAAAGACTAGAAGGGATAGGAGATTATTGCGTGAACTATCACGTAATTCCTATTGCTGGACCCGCTGCGGGAAAGCTTGAGGTAGGACTTCTGATGCTTGTCCGGAGAGACTTGTGAGAGACGGTCCTCGCTTCTTTTCGTCCAGGGCTGTAGTTGTAATATCGCACCGACCATCAATCAACTGCTCATACTCAAACCATGAGGTTTTGCTATCGTAGGCAGGCGCAGTCTTGGGCGTAATGCCTAACTGGCTGAGCATTTTGTCTGATGATGAATAAGCATGTAGGCAAAACCTGAGCATGTTTTTCATAATGCATAAGCACGGCACTTGTCCTACGGAGGATGTTCTGCTTTCTTCAGCACTGTCGTGTGACGACATTGGGCTATGCCCCCGACACAGGCCTCGTGGAAGGGCCGTAACCAACCGCTTGTGTTGCGGGGGGGCTATGAGCACAACCGGGCTCGGCTACCAGGAAACTGCCCCGACTCCCCCCACTCCTGTGGAAGTCTCAGGGTAGGTATGGTCCTTAGACTTAGACCTAAAGGCTTTGCCAGCAAAGAAGCACAGCAGGTTGCTTCTCTAGACGCGAAGCGTTTACAGCAACAGTCGCGCAAGCGGTTTGTAGGACACGGGCGTTAGTACAGCCACAGACTGATCGTGTGGAAACATAATATGGACCCCGACTCACAAAGCTTCTGCTACTTACACTTTTATGCTATGTGACGTCATCGAGTTCGCTGTCTTTGCGCACAAGCGATTTCTCTCCGTGGACTCTGGACTCCGAGTGGGAGCCTGAGAGCTCCCAAGCATAATGCAAAAGGACTGATTGGCACAGAGGTCTCAGACAACAGGATGGCACAGATCCACAATGATGTTGGGTACCGTTCTAAACGTGCTGTCACTTCTCGGACCACCGGGCCAAGACTAAACGATGAGGCGCGAGCCTATTTGACAACCCCTTCTGGCCAAGACACCACGCGACCCGTCTCCGCATTGTCAGCAAAGTCAAAGTGGGCAACGTAAACGTCACCCGCAGCACTGACCTGCGTGTGCGAGCCCAAGAACACTAGCGGAACCAGAGCAAAGATTTACAGCACATCCTCCCTCCCCTCTCCTCGCCCCTTCTTGTTGATCTTGCCCGGGCTTGTCCGGGCTTCGACACAGAAGAACGGTCCCAGAATCAGTTCCTGACAGGTGCCTGACTCCATGATGATGCAATGCAGCAGTGCGCTGCTGCTAGGCTTCCTTGAAGCTTCTCTGTCTCCTCTCTCCTTCCCACGAGCCGAAATCATCCGAATGCCCTCCAACGAGCTAGTTCTTCTCTCCCTTGACACTCCTGCTTCGTCTATGGTAAGCAGGGTTGGGGCGCACCGCCAAGGCTGTGGGGCCGAAGCGTCCAGAGAGCTGGGCGAAGACGCTGCAATGAAAGACCTGCGGCCTCAATTCGATCCAAACGTGTTCCCCCATATTCCCCTGCCCCCCTCCTCAACAGGAACGGGTGAGAGAGCTTGCTCAGCCCGCGACGGATGCTGTGTGAACCGGAGAATGCCTCGGTTCAGGAAGAAGCATTGAGCCTGCCACATGCCAAATGCTCTGATTGCATCACGGTCACGGTTCATGGCCATCTCCGCCACCTCAGCCAAAGCCGGTCTCTCGCAAGAGCAGGAGCGCTCAGAAGCTTCGCCGCGACGAGCACTGAGCAGCAAGCGTAGATGTTTTTCTCATCCGGAGACAAAGCTACGCCGCAGGGATGCGCAAGCGTGTTGAGGCACAGCGGAATCAACCTGACGTTGGCTTTAGGTACGTCAGCGGGTCATATTCAGCACCTGCTTGGGGCATGGCAGCTGCGTTGAAGGGCTGATTGCAAAGACAGAGCCCCGAGGGTTCTGCAAGGAGGTCTCACCAAAGGGCCTCGGCTGCCACATGGGTGACAGCGTCTTAGCGAGGCAGCAACGGTCCCCGGCCCACTGTCGGTGAAGTACAGCATCCCTGTCCTCGGCGCAAGGCGCAACAGCGGCGGGGACTCGGTGAGACTCCAGGCTCAGAATCGAGCTGTCGTGACAGGCAGAGAGAGTTGGGCCTCGGAACCAGCTGGAATACATGGGCAGATCGCAACCATCGCCACCGAGGGTGGATTCTGTGCTGCTGGCCCCAGGAACTGAGACTGCTCGTACCTGATGTTAGGCATATGCTGCAACTCCCACAACGACATGATGCTCGACAATGCTCCACACGCTGCAGGCCGCACTCCTTGACATAGGGATCAATTTGGTGGGCGAAGGTGCCGCCTTCTCTCTCCACCTGACTCATGGCGCCATCCGGGAGCACCAGGTGCCCTTGCATGCCCTCCCCTTCTCCCGCGTCAGCTGGGCCGCTGGCACGCAGGATCCGAAAGATGGCTTGGTGCGCCGCATCGCACACGAAAGCCACGCCCTTGCACGGCTGCAAATCTTATGCTAAGCGCTGCGCGAAGATGCTGCCTCTCTGCCCGAGCCTGGCTGTCAAAGTCGATGCCCATCGGCTGCCCCGAGGAATTTCCCCAAGCCTCCATCTGAAACCTGCGAGAACGGCTCCGTTCAGCCTTCCCAGGGCCCTAGGACCTTCCCCCAAATAGGCCGAGGTTTCCACTCGCCATCGTAGCCTTCGGGAGTCGAGTAGCGAAAGATGTCGCCGGAGGTGGACACCGCGAACAAATCACCCGACCTCTCATTTAGCCGCGCCAAAAGAAAGAGGCTCAAAGAAAGGCTCACACCACACTCAGATGGTGTGTTCACTCGTCCACTCTAGAGATGCTGAGTGCAGCTCGGTCCGAAGGTCGGCGATGTGACTGGATACTCATTGCCGATGACCTGAGCAGCAACTGCCTCCCGGGCGACTCGAGGACTCGAGGCGGGCCTGAAGGTCCATTGCTTCTGTGCAAGGCTTTGCCTGGAATTTCTCGTCTCAGACAGGTCTCAAACATCAACACCGTTTTCACGAAGTACGAAATTGCTGAGCCATTCACCTGCTCACAGAAGGCGCCCCCAATCTTGGGCTTCCGAACTTGAGCACAACATGCGCCGCAGGGATCATCTGAGGGGCAAAGCGTGCTTGCATGAACTTCGGGAAACGGATGCAGTACCAAGCAATAGCCACCGTTTTCACACGGATGAACCGACGATAAGGACCACTGCACCCACCAGCATGCTCGCAGCACGAAGGTTAAAACTCAAAGGTCCAGCACTCTTGCAAGCGCCGAGGTTGGATCCCTCTGCAGGATCAGGTGACAGCCTTAAAGCCTGGTTCAGCTCATACTGCTAGCCTCTAGCCCTTCGAAGTGAAACGCGTTTTCCCGGCAGGACGTCAGCTACCAGACCATGCTCCCACTCCTGATTCAGGAGGCTCCAACTGTGGCTTTCGCTGCTTTCCCTGCGGCTTTCCCTGCCTCTGCGGCCTCGTCCTTCGTGTCTCGCCTGGCCGTTTCACCCACCCGACCCGGCCCGGCTTTGGGAAGATGGGCCGCGCCTCGAGCTGTCTTTCGCCGTCATCGTGTCTTCAGAAATCCGAAAATCGAAGACCTGAGACCGAGTCGGACTCAGCCAACAGGGACGGGCAACCATGCTGATGGCGCACTTCTTCCGCATACCCATCACAGAAAAAGGCATCAGAATGAACACCTTGGATGTGAGCAACATGAGGTGCGTCAACTCACGAAAAAGGAGCTCTGAGCCTCGAACGACGATGAGCACAGCACCGACAAGCCACGGCCTAGGAATTGCAGGATCTTTTCTGCTCAGCTTCTGACTCCCCACATCTGAGGCCCGGGCCCAGTCTGCACCTCCGGGATTGCTTGCGTCTGCGGCTCCGGTGCGGCTGACGCCGCCGTGGTCTCCGCGTCCATGGTCCGAGCTCTGAAGCGTCGAAGGGTTTCTCGCAGTGCGTCTAAGGGGTCTCTTCTTGAGGCTCTAAGGCCGGTTTAATGCTCACGCCACAGCGGAAAAGCTCGATACGTTGGAGTTCGGTGCATCTTCCAAGTCCGAAGAAGGTCCTGAGCTAAGTTAACAGCTAGTCTCGCTGAGTCGGTGAGTGCCAGAACTTGCTTGAGTCTGATGCCCGTGAGCCTACATGCTGCGGTCCTGGCTGTTAAAGCCGAGTGCTTTGCCGTATAGATTCCAACTGTAACCAATGCAACTTTATTATCTCTCACCCAGACCAACTTGGAAGAACGCGTCCTTGCATCTTCCTGCTAGCGCGTGGGCTGGAGGCGTGGGGTGGCGGTGAGGGGGAACAACCCTACAAGTAACAACGAAACAGTTGCCTCTGAATAATCATCTTCTCCATCCACATTCTCAACACGGTTCACACAGTTTCTTCAAAATCAACATCATCATCTTCTTCAGTATCGTCCTCTCTTGAAACCCTACTGCCCCTGCTGTAATCCCTCAGCCCTCGAGCCATAACGCTACCTGTTTCTGCCAAAACTAAGGCTATTTCTCACCTGGGCAGTACTGCCGCTGCTACCGCCACTCTCATCAGTTGCTGCTGCTCGTTACAGCTAGTGACTAGTGGACGACTACTGTTGAATCCAGAAAAATTACCAATCATTCCCATCACCACCACCATCAGCAGCAGCAGCATCGTTCATATCATCATTCTCATCCTCAACATTGACATTCAACATGACCATGGGCATCAACAACGCAATGCTTTTCCGTATTCCCATCATCAGCATCAACATTGTCATCGCCGTTTTCATCACAGGCATGGAAGTCATGTTGGACAAACGACATGTCGAATAACATTTACATCGCACTCACGAATAACAAAACACGCAGAAATCGAGGTCCTCCGAGAACGTGCTGATTTGGCACTCGAAAGCCCGCCCAAAAGTGCTGTAAAGATCAGCCTGGAGCATCACGTACTCAAATCAACAATTCTCCCCCGAAGTTGTTGCCAAAACCACACGACGGGGCACCTCATTTAAGCCCGGAAGCTGTGGCAAAAAAACACAAACCCGCACCTACTGTGCGGCGGAAACCCAAACAGCGGGATCTTGCGTGATACTTGGCACACGATTGTGTCGTGTCAACCAGCACGCAGGTCCCATCGAACCCGCCGGTGGCCGTGGCTGCAACTCCTGGTTGCATGTCCCCCAGCTGCCGAGGTTTTACCAAAAAGAGACGTCGGCCAAGGATCTTACGCCCCGCGCACCCCTGGCCCCCAGTGCTCTTCGCTTCCGTGTCCTTTTTGTGCCCCTCGGCTTGTGACGATCACGCGCGGGCCCTTGCCCTTGCATGCGGCAAGTTGCTCACGAACAGGCATCTCACCGCACCGCATTCTGATCACGCGTCGAGGCAGCACGGAGGGGCGCTAGCCTGAGGCAGAAGCAGCGCTTTCACAGCGGGTCTGCACCGGGAGCCTGGGCATGAACCTCTCCGTGCGGAGCTTTGTGACAGGGAGCCGCGCCGCCCCGACCTCAGTCGACTCAGAAACCAAAGAGCTCTGCCGCGGGACTCTGCTGAAAACTTTGTCGACTCGGATCGTCACTGTCCACGTCTGTCGCGCGACACGCTGGGGTCGCGGTCGCGCGATGCGCTGGGCCTGTCGAAACTGAGCTGAATTCCGCCGAGCGTTCATTCCGCTGTGACGTGTGGCATCCGAGGCTGGGGCCCTCGGAGCATGGCACCTGCGCATCAAAGAACCACGAAAGTCCGAGCATGAAGGGAATCCGCGCAACAGGAAGTCAATCCGCCTTTTCCCCGCTAGTAAATGAGCCTCTTTCTTGTGACATTCAGGGTATTAAGACAATATTAGCCTCTCTGTTCATGTTCTTGACTAATTTACATGTGGCGACCAATTGGCTAAAGTAGTACGTCTATCGTCTACCATATGAGCATGCCACCTCATCACTTGATTCGACAACTACGGGGAACAGTCGAAGACAATCAGGTGCAGGGCAGCTCACAACCTGTATGCTCTGTTTGGTCTGACGGAGAAATCTTTGCGCAGCCAAAGTGAACAACCAAGCTAGTAGGTAAACATGGCAAGAGGGTAGGATGCAGTTCACTGGCCCCCAGATCGTCTTGCTGTGGGATCTCCGTTCAGCGGACAGGGAGGAAAGGGGTCGGCGTCGCCGGTGTGAAGTCGTGCGGGAGATCCTGCACGGTTGCAGACGACTGCATCGATATCCTTTTCCCGGTCCGGCTCATCTCTGCCGGTGTGATTGGTCGAGTCCAGCCTCTGTCTGCATTGGCAAGGGGCTCGTCCCCTACTCGGCTCTCCACCAACGTTAGAGCGCTTCTGTAGAAGTTGACAGGCACGCATGTGCGTCGGCATTGTAACCTGCCGGTTGGAATAGCATCACCTTTTCAACAGCTCCTGCGCCCGAAGCATTTGGTAGGGCGCGGCATCACTCTTTCCATATGCGGTGCTCCTGAACCAACTACAGGTGGCTGAGGTCGTCGAGGATCAGCACCATGAAGATGCGGTTTAAAGTCAGGAGCTCCACCAGGGTGAGGTGCCGTGCTTGATGTTGCTCCGGCTGTGTTGAAGGGGCTGGAGGTCCCCGTCTTGTGTTGAGCATCGCTTGTTCGGCTTTCGGGGCTGTTCCCTGTGCCTGTTTCATCCCGATTGCCCGTCCACCTGGTGGATGTCTGGACGTAGGCGGCCAATCTTGCCAAGTCATCCAGCAGGTTTCGGGCATATTCGACCCCTCGGGAACGGCCGCTTGGGCCATGTCAAAGAAGTGGAACGCGACTCCTATGGTTTGGGCTTCTTCCAAGCCAGGGTTGGCGGGCGTGTAAGAAAGTCGCGAAACCATGCTATCGTTCCTTTGGACAATGAGTCCTCGCACTTGCTGTAGGAAGTGTGCAGTGATGGCGAAAGGCCGTCTTGGTTGGGCCCGCGCTGGGAGACTTGCCGGCACTCTTGCTGATGGGCCCCGATGGTGGGATTCGTTGGGGGCATGAGTGGGTGCAGGTGCGGAAGGCACCGACAATCTCCCTGGGCAAACTGCTGTTCAGCGTAGTGCGGGAAACTCCTGGTGGGTGGCTAAAGCTTGTGGTTGTGGTAGTTGAAGCTGGGGGGCTGGGTCCCCGGACGCAGCAGCGTGTAAGGTGTTCTGCACCAGCTCTGCCCTATCTTGGTCTCCTCTTGGCCAGCTGCTTTCTGACCCATCCCCTTCGGGCAGAAGGGGGGCGTTGTGTTCTTGAGGCAGTTGTGGCCGTAGTGCGGTCATGAGGTTCATGGGTGGGAGTTGCTGTGGTGGCTTGCGGCGGGCCCACGCTTCTTCTCCCTCAGGTGTTGCGTTGTGCTACGGCTACGGCTTGAAGTGTGGTTGTTGTTGCTGCTGTCTTCTTGGTCCTGTGGGATGACGTCTTCCCGGTGTGGGTGGGCGCGGCTCAAGCCCACAAGGGGGAATGATTGAGAAGTTCCCACGGTTCCGATGGCGGTGGCAGATTTTCAAGGATTCTCCTGAGCCCCTCCACTCCAACAAGAAAGAGTCCCCCGTCTACTTCCACCAACCAATACAGTACCTCAAAGTTCTGGCCTGCCCCTCTTCTTCAGCGCAGCCAGGGGCAGGATGTCCTCCTTCACGGCGTGGTCCCCCTTGGTAGAGGGTCTTGCGCTTGCTGTTCAGGTCCACCGAATGACGTGTCCATCCCCCACTCGCATCGCAGGGACTCTTCACTGACACTGTAGAAGATCGCTCCCGTGGCATCGTCACGTGGCTCGTTCCCGGTAGGCAGGGGCGGCAAGTCGGCCGCATGGTCGTCTGCTCCGTCTGGTAGTAGCTCAGTTGTGATGGGCTCGGCTGAGTTGTGCCATTGCCCTGTCTCGTCTGTCAGTATGAGTGAGGGAGTGCGAGACATAGCGGTATGTCGTCCCTGTCGTGGGCTGAGCCAGAAGGGGCACAGGGGCTCGGCTGCAGCATGTCCATCTCTTGCAGCACCTACTTGTTTCCCCCGCCCTGAGTGGAGCCCGTAGCTGGAGTTGCAGATGCCCGACAACTTTCGGAACTCATCCTTGCCGAGCTCCAAGTATGGCCATGCCATCCGATTCTACACGCTGGAGGAGTGGATTGCTTTTCCACGGTTGGGCTGTACTGCCCCATGGCCCCCCACTTCTCCCACCCCGGGAAGTCCTGAGGGTTGTGCAGCTTCCGCGTCTTCACCTCCAGGATCATCTCATGTTTTTGCCCAGTCTCGTCTGCAGAAGTAGCGGAGATCGGGGACCAAATGACGCATTCCTCGTCGCTCTCATGCGTGTAGCTGTTAGAAGCGCTCCTCGCATCTGTCTTCTCCATCTCTGTCCCCTCGGGCCCCACACGCTGCGAGGTCTGGGGCGGAGGTTCACCCTTCAGCTTGGGTGGTCGCGGTCGTTGGCAGAGTGGCTCCAATCGTCCCCATCAACTCGAGCCAGGCCTCTCTCTCTCGCAGGTAAGATAGGGAGGTCGGGACACCCACCTGTGGTCCACCCACTTTTGACCTGCACCACAAGGATTTTCCTCTGTTGAAGGGGGGCGGAAATTCTGAAAGGCCCCCTCGTCGCACGTGTGCCGTGGTCGCACGTGTGCCGCGGTCGCACGTGTGCCGCGCATGAGCACAAAGCCGACCCTACGCGAAAGCACATAGCCAACCCTAACACAGCAAACATCTGGTCTGGGGTGGTCGGCCACAAAGTGCGTAAGCTTCTCGACGACTCTCTCTCTCTCTCGGCCCGGGCCGGCCTCGGGGAACGTCGTTCGGAATCGCCCCGGAACTCGGAGTGCTTGGCCTCGCTGACATCCGCGTCTGATCTCGTCATGATCTCTGTTTCCGGGGGCCCCCGCTTCGCTGGCCGCGTTGGAGCCTGTCAAGGGCAGCGGGTCTCAATCCCAGCTCGGCTCCCTTCACGATGAGGGTGTGGGAAGTCTCCTTTCTCTCCTTTCTTCCTGTTCCGCAGCGAGCAGTCCCAGAACGGTTGGGAAGAGCAGCGGAGCAGCGGCGCAGCGAGCCGAGTTCGCTCCGCTGCGGAGGTCGTTCGCCGAGTCCGAGGAGAGGCCGTGGAGCCGCGGAGGACGGGCCGTTGGTTGCGGACCGCGCAGATGATCAGCGTCATCGGTCGCAAAGCAGCAGGTGTCGGGCTGCTTCGGGCACCAGGCAGAGTGTCACCACTCGCTCTCTGGAAGTCGACCTGTGTCGCGCAGGCCAGCTGCATACTTTGGCAGCCCATCACCTCGTCATCTCGTTCTGCACTCTCGCAAAAAGGGACCGAGGGGACTTGGGGGCACGGCGTACATCCATGACCCGATCGTCGTAGTGGAGATGATGCCTGGGCCTCAGCCTGCAAGGGGACTGCACATGGGATGCGAGACGCCGTTCCTTTTCCTTCTTGGCTGCCAAGGCCTCGAATTCGGCCCTTCGCTTTCGCCGTTGCCCCTCCAGCAGGCGAGCAAGACCAAGGGGACAGCGACGAGCTTCCCTGCACAAGTGCGCATGACGAAGATGAGACACAAGAGCAAGAGGTACAGCCGAAGGGCACCTCCTTGCAGGGTGCCGCGCACCGGGGCGAAGCAGGAGCCGCAGCGGCTGCGCTCCACGCCTTGAAGCCCGTGCAAGAAAGCGCCCTCCCGACTCGCTGCCTCTGCCGAGTCTCAAGGCCTTTGGAGGTGCGCAGCGCCGCGAGGCTGGCCCCGGGCTGAAGCTCGAAGGAGACCTCGGTCAAGGGTCTCTGGCCCGTGGGCCCCGCGGGCCCCGCGGGCCAGTGGGCTGTCTGGATGTGTTTGGGCCCTGACCTGGTCGTCTTGGAAAAGGGCTTGGCATGAGAAGGGTGCTCCGGAGAGGCGTCTGCAAACAGAGCAGTGGCAGTAGCCTCGGGCGGGGGCCGGGGTCCCACCATGCTAGACATCATCTAAACACAAACCGACAACACAGCCCTTACAGCTGGAGAATCGTCAGACTCGTCCCGCTTCGATTCTCTCTCTGGAATGTCTTCACAGCAATTGTCTGCGACAATATCTCGCCCCCTTCTGTGCCTTTTATGATTTGGCAAGCATAGCTGGATTAAGCCGAGGGGCTGATGGCCCGTGCCTCCCCCCGGCATCGAACGCGCACCTCGCCACCTGGGCTTGCAACTGAGCTGTCAGCCTTTCTCCAGACCTCCAGCGCCGGGCAGTAGCAGGCCCCCTCGTAGAGGGCTCCCTCACGAGAGCAAAGAAACCGCGATGGGTCTTTCGGATGCATTCACCTTGACCGTCGCCTCTTCGACCCAGCCGTTTTGCGTTGCGGCCATCGGCTCGGGCTTTTCAGCGGCTGCCTCGGTCCTGGCACGAGTCACTACCAAACTACCAGAACCCCATCGCTCAGCTTAGTCGCTGCCTTTCAGTAGCGAGCAGCACCAGCTCGGCGTTCGCGGCGGCATCCACACTCGGACCTCGGCTTCAACATATCTGAGGTCGAAGAGCAGCAGTTGGGGCTCAGGCCGTGGCAGTCAACGTCAATTCGCTTTAAGCATTCGCTCTGCCTGGCCCAGGTGGTGTAGAGCTTGTCGTAGTAGTCTAACATCATTGCGGCCACCTGCACTGCACAAGCAAGGGCGGCCTTTGGGGCAGAACTTTCCGCAGCAAAGGAGCCCAGGCACCTCCTCCCAACGTCCTTCATCCAACATCTGCAGTGCCTCCTTCAAGCAGAGGCATGTACCGCCTGTGTGACAGCACATGCTGCGCGCCACCGTGCAGTCCTTGACTCGTTGACCACCCAACTTCTTGGCCAAACCTCCCGAGATGCCTCAAGCTTTGAACGGCAATCTCGCAACTACATGCAACACATTGCTGAGACGAGGAGCACTGCTTCAGCTCTTCCCGACCACATTCTTGCAGCTTTGCCTGGGTACAATAGTCTTCCACCAACCTGCCATCAGTCCGGAGGAATTTGCAATGAGGGGAAGGATGCCACCGACCTCTGTACCCGCAAGGATTGCTCCATAGAGAGAATGAGCATGGCACCTCAGCAGGAGGCACACCAGGCCCCTTCACCGGCTATGCATCTGAGGGCTTGCACTGGGCTTCGTAACCCAGGACAGGATTCCAGGCGGGACAAGTACCTGCGAACAGAACTTCCTTTCCTTCGCGGGTTCGCTCGTTTCTCAGCGCCGGCGGGCCTTGCCGACGTGTCTGGACTCGTGCTCGAGCCAAAGCCGCAACCCAGGCTTCACCCGGCGCACGGCGAAGGCGAGGATGTTCTCGTAGGCCTCTCTCGGATGCGGCGCCAGAACGCTCTGCCCTTCAGGCGACCTGCGCCCTGCCCTTGTCAGCTTGGCGGGCCTCATTGCTAGGCTGCCCGGGCTGGCCAATAGCACCTGACGTCTTTTCAGACAACCTCTACGCTCTCTAAACAGCACCGAGTCCGTGGCCGAACGCAGAGCCACGATGGTTGGCCAATCCCTGAAAAGGCAGGAGGGGAAAGTTGTCTTGTACCAGGAGATGCCACTGCACAGTTTTTTCCTGGTTTACAGTACATGGCCTCCAGATCGAGCACCTGCTCACCTCGCTGCCGGAGCTCCAAGAGCACCGCGGTCTTGCCTACGCCGGTGCAGCCACCCAGCACCAACACCTCGAAGAGTCCGTTCGGACGCAAGTGCGTCACGCATCATCACGAATGCAAAATCGCAAAAGCACGGTCCCCGATTGCTTTGAAGCATGAATGAATTCTCCAATCGAAGCCATGGCCTCTTTTCCCAAGACAAAGGCAAGTCGCCGGTGCCGGCGCTGGCGCATGCTCGTTCCCTACTGTTGCCTTGCCTCAGTCGAACTGACTTCTCCTTTCTTTTATGGAAAAAACATCGCCTTTTGTCTTTCTCTGGGGTCCGAACACCATCGCCTGAAAGCGCGGTAGCCACCTTTGGGCAAACTGCCGAAAACAACTGCAACCTGCATCTTGCTAGCTGCGTCTTGCATTTCTTGCAGCGAAACAAAATTTAAGGCGGCCAGACGTGCAGAAGTGCGGTTGCATCAGAACAAATCCGCACGGAATTTTAGCCGGCGTCAAACTTATTTGTTTATGCCAACTTCATCCTTAAATTAAAGCGTCACCTATGGTTGTACAGTGTCTGCAATTTCAAGCATGTTGGAACAAACGATACTCTGCTTTGGAGTACGTGGTGAGATACACATGCGGCATTGCAGGGTGTAGCCTGGGTTCGGGGCTTTGGGGGCCTTTTGGGGTCCTTGGACCCTTTCGGTTTTTGAGCTTCCTCTGCTTGGCATTTCGATTCGGGGCGTCATCAAGAACTGGTTCCGGAGAGCAGGTTTGAGCTTTTATGGATGAACGAGTTGAAGATATTTGGAGTCTTCCGTTTTGGGGCTTTCGGACTTCTGGTCCGAGGAAGAGTGCTGAGACAATACATGGACGGCCACGGGCCCATCTAGGCGCCAAGACCGTTCCGAAGGCAGGGTCCAACGTCACTCGAACTGGACACGCTGGAGTAAGTCTTGTGGGGAGGAATCCCCGAACGGCTTGTATCCGGCAGGCAGGAATCCTCACTATCAGCGTTTCGGGGCTTGGGGTCTTTGCCAAGCCAAATGAGTGATCTTGACGGAGTGAGAAGCTGGAAAGGAGAGAAAGCCCCGGCCTAGGATGCGGTTGAACCGCCCCCCGGCGCAGTCAGGCGAAAGGAAGACAGCCCCGGCCCAAGGTGCGG